ATTATTGGCTCTTCTAAGGCCATTATGTTTGGCCTCATTTGACAGAACATTTCAGTAAGTGCATCTATTGAAAACGGCTCTTCGCTCTGTGCAACAATTTGAGTTTCTTCTCCATCTTGGACTACTCTGACAGGTCCGTAATTTCCTTCGTACATGAATATTTCCACTGAGTTTGCTTCTGCAACAAAAGGTCTATGATCTGCCTGCACCACTTCTACTTCACCCTTGTCATTCCAGAAAATCAGGCATTGATGGAGCGATGAAGGTATGCAGCGATTTCCGTGTATCCAATCCCTTCCTAATAACACATTGTAACTAGTAGGATTATCTATTACGAAGAAGACTATGGTCCTAGTAGTTGTCCCTACAGTTATGTCCAATGGCATAACCCCTTTAGCTGAAGTTGCTCCTCTATTGAAACTTGTAAGGATGACTTCTGTTGAAATCATATCACTTTCTGTCTTTGCAAATTTCCTCATTATCCTAGATGGAATGGTGTTTATAGTTGCTCCATTATCGATAAGTATTTTCGCTACAGGTATACCGTTAACTAAAGCCTTAACGTACAATGACCTCAAATGTTTAGTTAACTTCATGACTGATCTCTTAAAAATAACCTTTCGGCAGCATCTATTTCCACTTCCTGCTTGTTCTCTGTTGAATTATCCTTTTGTGATAAGTCAACGTGCAGTATGTCGCACTGAGCTTCCGCTTCCTGAATTTCCTTTTTATTATTTTCTAATGTTTCTTCTTCGGTTACCCAACCTGTGGGAGGAGGCAATATTCTTGGAGGTGACCTATACTTTTCAGAGTGAGGTACTATCCTTTTTCTCTTGGGTGTCCCATACAACACATAATTATTGAAAGAACGCCCAGATGGTTCCCCAACAAATCCACTTCACGAACACCTTCTCTGTGTAGTTGCTTCAATAGGGTATTGTGCGATACTCCTCTCTTTCTTATTTCTGCTTCCAGATTAATTTCCTCTTCCATGTCCATCATACCATCATCCTCTTCATCATTGTAGGCCCCTCTAGAAGTTTGGCCTTCTTCACATTTCAGCACACATGCTTCTTCTTCGTGATCCTCCCTTTCTTCTTCTTTTTTCTCTTTGTTCTTGAACTCATTGGCTAGTAAATAGTTATTAGCCATGACAGGAGGTAATGTACCGAACTGAATAATAAGGGGCTGATCTGGATCTTCTTCATCCCTTCTGTCTTGCTCAAACTTCGATCTTCCAGAAGAACTATCTGGCAATTCTTTCATCGATTCACCTGTACCAGTCTCTTCACTGTTTCAGAACATTTTGATTGGCTACCTCGAGTAGTTTAGGCATCTTAGGACATGTCACTCCCTGTTGTTGTCTCATCATTCGTCCATAATTCCGTTGAAAACGCCTTTGTTGGGTTCTAGTCATCTCGTTGAAGGGTATTACCCTTCCTGCATTATACTGGAACGAATACCATACATTTGGTTGGCGAGGTTGCAGCCTGAATGTTCTCCCATTATTTATTAACCTGAACTGCCCCTCAAAAGGTGGTCCCCTATAGAATGATGTATCTCGCCCTCTAACAGGCTGAGCATTTGGGAAAAAACTAGGGCGATGGTGATGCTGCCATATCCCTAATTTCTCTGTATTTGCACTCACTTCTCCTTTACATCTTGCATACAGGACATCTTCATCCTTTTTAGGTTCCTTCCCTTTAATACGTTCAAAGACACTGGGGTGTGGCCCAGGGTCCTCCTCTCCGTCGTCTATAACCAACTTGAATTTTGGCAACTTGTTTTTGAAACCAGTCGTCACCATGTTCACCCCAAGTGGCTGTGGAAAAGGGTTTTCATCCACTGTCATCTTCTTCTTATCCTCAAACGTAATTCATCCTGATTTAGTGGTGTCCTGTAACACATGGCGAAAAACCAAACAGTTGTTAGTCAAATGTGACCATGCATTATGTCACTTACAATATTTTTTTTACCCTTGATTTGTTCAGGGTTTGGCAACTTATGTTTATTGCTCAACTTTATCTGCTTATCCTTATATAGTTTATCAAATATAATGTCAGCTTTGGTTACATTGAACGAGAACGTTCTAGCCTTTTTATTTTCTTATTTTATATGCTCATCCTTGCCCGACGATCTAGGTTTAGCCATTATAGGACAAGTATACGTGTCTCCTTTGATTAATTCTGCCAAACACGTTTTGGTTTGATTATAATACTCATCATTAATGGTATGAACATCAAAATTTGGATCTCTATAATAAGTTCCCCTGCTAGAATTTTTCATTTGCTCTTCTTCTTTTATTAATCGTTCATACCTAATCACATTTGCGCTCAATTGAAAAAGATCAGGAAATTCTTTGTCTTGGAATTTCTTTTTCAAATCAAAGTTTAGACAACTTTGAGCGATTTTGACAAACTCCTTTTCGGGCAAAGGTACAAAACATTTACTTCTTGCTGTCTTGAACCTTTGAAGGAAACCTTCTGCCCATTCGTTTGGCATTTAACGTAAATTCTCCAAATCGGTCAAAGTAACTTCAGACTCAGTCTTATAAAACTGAGCACGGAACAATTGCTCCAATTGTTGCCATGTTTGAACAGAGTTCGCTGGCAAATTGATGAACCAGGAGAAAGCTACTCCTGTTAATAAACTAGAGAACAACTTCATTTTATGGTAGTCGGTTACTTCACCACTTTGCAGTGTGAATCGCCCTATGTGTTATAGAGCAGACATCTCTCCTAAACTAGTAAATAATCAGAATTCTGGCACTTTATACCCTCTAGGCCATGGATATGCTTGGTCTACCCAATCAGGATATGACTTTGTATAAGTCGGCTTAATAATAGGACTTACCCCAAAAGCCATTTGATCCTATACTATTTCCATAATTTGATTTCTCAACATGCCGTTGGGGTCATATGTAATTCCTACAGGTTGGTTGATCGGTTGATTTGCCTGAGGCCTGATGTTTGGTCCTTGATTGGCAACAAAGTTTCCATAAATTGGGCCATTTTTGTCATTAGCCTGAATATTTATTCCATCATTAACACGTGGGGTATTTTGTCCATTATTTAGGACATTGTCTCATTTAGGTTACCCCCAAGTTAGCTGTACCATTATCACTATTCTGACTTGGCATTACACCATCCCCCTGGTTTGAAGTAGACGGACCAAAAGGTGGTTCTATCCCTTGATTTGGACTTAGGACTGGGGAATTATGTCCTACAATTGTCCTAACTTGAAAGTGACTTGCAATAGGCACAATTGGCTGACAAAATTGGTCTACTAACTTATTCATTATTTCATTTAATGTACTCAGTTGTTTGGCCATGTTGTCATAATGTGCATTCCCATTCTGGGTAAATCTTTCCATATTATGAACATTTCGTATATTTACCTATTCAACAACATCCTGTGTGAGTTCTCCAAGCAATGCACGCATGGTTCGAGGACTCAACTCTGTCATTGGTTCGTAACGACTGTTACTGCTCTGACTCTATCCCTCTGTTCGTGGAGAGCTTTGCTGCTCCTCATATCGCTCGATCACAGGCTGGACTCCTCCCTGACTTGCTACTTCCTTATCAGATTTGTGAGGCATATTGTTTCACTTTTTGTATCCTCAACACCAATGTCCCACTGGGCGTGCCAAATTGTTTCGCGCGGGTAGTCGCTAACAATTAAAAAGGGGATCAGACGATTGTGTAAGGAACAGATCTCTTGAGACAAAGTCCCAAAACGAGGTGTTTTATTGACGATGATTTACAATTGGAAATAAACAGAATGCCTCCAAGGGGCGCAAGCACTTGAGTACTAAAAGAAGTGTTTAAATTTAAGTTAAGAAATTAAAATTATATATTCTCTGTTTGAGAGTGTTTGATTCTTTTTCTCTCTATGTCTTCTCTTCCTTTTTATATTATCTTGATGATTTCCTCATGATAAATCGCTTGAAAACTGCTTGATTGCTTTATAACTACTCACTTTCTTTATGGTGGCTAACTTGTCGTGGAACTGCCGTCTCTAACTGCTACCATTACTCTGTGTCATTCAATCGCCTTCAACTGGGCTCCTTGAATCGTGGAATGTAATAAGATTACTCAATAACTGCTATTCTGGATAACCATAATATTTTATATTTGCTAAGATCCTGGGCGATTCGAAGGTTTGAGCGAGAGCGGGGTCATCGCTATGGGCTACCGTAAGGCACTCTATTCGCTCAGATTCTGGGCGTCTTGCAAGCTTGGGCGATGATGTTACTGTGTTTATGGGCTTCCACTATATTCATCAATAATCCTGTTTGGACCTTTATCCTGAACTCCCCAATTGGGCTTCACTCTTTGAACTATTTGATTTGGGCTGCACTTTTAGTGTGTCACCAGTTTCAAATAACACTTGTAACCTGATAGGAAGACGATCGAGGATGCACCAAACACAAAATCAGAGGGAAAACTATTCCTATTGAATTGAATTGATATTTGGCCTCTACGAAAACTGAAATCACAGCGCAGCTGATAACGGCCAAGATACAAAGAAAAAGATAGTATATGTCTGCCTATTACTTAACGATCCTTTCAGGTCTTGCCCATAATATATAGAGAGTGAAATTTTCCTCATAAAAATCGAAAAGTGATAAATTGATATGACTATAACAGTTTTTCTACATTCGAGTCCTTTCAGTCATTATGCTATAGCACTTCTTTTCATTCTATTAATATTTTTTATCGTGTTGTTTCAAAATGTGAATATTATTTGGCTTGTGTAACCAATGTGAATATTAATTTATTTAATTTTTTTTTCCTTCTAAGGTGATATTTGTAATTCAAAAAAAGAAGATACAAATTATTGTGATTGGGTAGCACCATGCCCCACGACTAGCACCGACCATAGTTACTTTTGCTTTGAACTTTATTAAATGCAAATTTGATCTCCGTGCAAAGACTTGGACCTTGACCTCCATATTTACACCAGAAATTCATTGAGCAAGCTCAAATTCTTTCCAACGATTGCCTTCCTTTCTTTCTTTCTCTCTCAGGAAATGGCTGATAAAGTTCTTGATTTTCTTTTGGAAGACTTGAAACTGATAGTTAGCAAAAAAACCTGCTTTATTATTAGTGACATGGATCAAATCAAATCAGTTTATGACGATTTTACTTTCGTTCTCAAGCAGTTGAAGGATGATCACAATGGAGATTGTTTCTTGGAACAGGTGAAAGATTTGGCTTCTGAGGCACTAGAGGACCTCGATTCATTTATTATAAATGTAATCTTGAAAGAGGATGAAGAAATGTGTGGGAAGATCTACCATGCATTTGATCCTCCAAAGAAGCTCACATATTTTGCAGAAGCAATCAACTCCGTTAAGAAGAAGATGGAAAAGGATCCTCAAGCTGTTTCAATGCCAATACTGGAAGTTTCTACTCAAAGTTTATCTGAAGCAATCCGGCCGCAGGTAGAGTACGATGAAGTTTTCATGGGGTTGGAGGATGACATAGCAAAAATAAAAGATCAACTTACTGGAAACCGAAAGCAACTACAAGTTATCTCAATTGTTGGCATGGCTGGAATCGGTAAGACTACTTTTTGTAGACGTCTTTGCGATGATGATTACATTGTTCATCACTTCTATATTCGTGCATGGACTTGTGTATCTCAAGAATATCGAAAGAGGGATTTGCTGCTCTGCCTTTTGAGTTGGATTGTGGATAAGGATGAGATACAGTCACTGAGTGAGGACGAACTTGTGAATGTATTGTATAAATGTTTGAAAGGTAAAAAGTATCTAATTGTTATGGACGATGTTTGGGATATAAGGGCTTGGAATGATTTGAAAATGTTATTTCCAGATGACAACAATGGAAGTAGAATTATAATTACTTCCCGGTTAAATGATGTAGGTTCAAGTATCAGACGGGGTAGTACCACTCACAGTCTGCGGTTTTTAACTGAAGATGAGAGCTGGAATCTATTGAAACATAAAGTGTTTAAGAAAAGTGAATGCCCTTCAGAATTAAATGAAGTTGGAAAAGAGATCGCGGCAAAATGTCAAGGGCTACCACTAACCATCGTTGTTGTAGCCGGATTACTTGCCAAGAATGAGAACCGCGACTGGTGGAAGCAACTTGCTGGAAGTTTACGTTCTGTTCTTGCTAATTCTGAGCAAATCATAAACATACTAGCACTGTGTTATGAGCACTTACCTCCTCACTTACAATCCTGCTTCCTGTATTTTGGAGCATTCCGCGAAGACAGCGATATTTTGGCATATAGGTTGATCAGGTTATGGATAGCTGAAGGGTTTATTTACCACGGGGAGCAGCAGCAAATTACTGTTGAAGAATTAGCAGAGGACTATTTGAAGGATCTAATTAATAGAAATCTAGTGGTTGTATCCAAGAAGTCATCAAATGGAGGAATTAGGACGTGTCGTGTACATGATATGTTGCGTGAATTATGTCTGAGAAAAGCCGAGGAAAAGAAAAATGACTGGCACAAACGAGTTGCTTCTTCATCAACTCCTATCTCATCATCGAACAAGCTATGCTTCCATTCTCATGGCTTCCACGACTTGTCTGAAAACGCTTTATGCACAAACATTCGCTCTCGTTTCAGCTATGCCTCTGAAAAGAGTCCAGTGATCACTATGAAATCATTTGTGTATAAATTTCTTTGGGCCTTGAATCTATGCTACATCTTTCTGGAGGGCTTCCCGCTCGAAATATTACAGCTATTTCATCTGAGGTTCTTAGAGCTTTGGATTAAACACCTTGACAAGCTGCCACCAAAGATATCAAACCTATGGAACCTAGAATCTCTTGTTATTACCAAAGAAGACTGGAGTAGAGTTATTATACCAGTTGGGATTTGGAAGATGTTGAAGCTCCGGCATATACGCATTTCAGAAGAAATTGAAATCGAGGCACCTTCGTCCAATAGTGGGGGTCCCTATCTGTTGAATGAGTTGCAAACTCTTTCTGCCCTTAAGCTACCTCATTCAGGCAAGGATTCTGAGGATATCTTGGCAAGGACTCCAAATCTTAGGAAACTGACATTCTATCGCGGTCCACGTACGGAGGGAAGTTTTTCTGTTCCTAATCTGGCTAATCTTAGTAATCTTGAATCCTTGAAGTTGAGTGTAAATAGTTTGAAACCTACGTACTCGAGAATTCCCCAACCGGATAAATTTCCGAAAAACTTGAAGAAGCTAATATTATCAGGTGGACACTTCAAATGGAAGGAAATATCAAAACTTGGCAAGTTACCAAGGCTGGAGATTCTAAAGTTGAGACGCAATTGCTTCAGTGGACATGTGTGGAAGACTAATGACGGAGAGTTTTGCCAACTCAAAGTCTTGAAGCTCTCATGGATGAACCTCGAGCAATGGATAACATGTACTAGTCACTTTCCCAACCTTGAAAGGCTCGTGGTAGAAAGATGCAAAAATCTTATTGAAATTCCTGCCGTCCTAGGAGATGTTCCTACATTAGAAATGATTGAGGTACTATGGTCCAGCAGCTCAGCAGTGGATTCTGCAAAACAAATACATAAAGATCAAGTGGAAATAGGAAATGACGGACAGAAGGTCATTACTAATTCATCAAGCAAAAAGGAGGTGATGGATATCTTAACAAATTATGCGCCCATGCCTCATGATGTCTATGAACAATGTCCTGTGAGTTAATGCAGATTTTTCTCCCTATTTTACTGTGGCTTCGAATAGGACATAACGATCCTTACAGACTATGATGTCTTTGTCTATCCTACTCATAATAGGATTTGCCTTCCTATCCTCTTTGGGACTTATTTAAGGAGCTCTTTCCTTATTTTTTTGGTCTTCCCTAGTATAAACTTGAGGGTGCTTGGTGTTTGGCGGGTTAGTACTATTATACTCATTAGTAGTATCCCCTTTTGGCCAAACGAACGTATACCAAGTGAAGTTAGTGAACCTTACTAGCACATCGATTAGTGTTACATAACATTATTTTATGTAGAGCCCATAATATGCTTTAGAAATATCTATTTGACCATTATATCATGTTGTTCTTAGCTGAATTGTCATCGTTTAATTTTTTTTTTCATTCGTAGTTTTCATCCTAACTTTGTTATATTGATTTTGACAGATAATGTAAATTGTGAAGTAGGATTCCAACATCTCTCTTAAATATTGTTGCATGTTGTCACACGTGTCCTACCCACCTGGACCAATGGCCCTCATCCTGATCCACGTGGCGTTCCCGCCGAGGTGGCACAATATTGCCGAGGTGGGTTATATCCGAAGTGCTTCAAGCCGAGATCCATCCGCCGAGGCTCCTCGATCCGATGTATGCAAGTCTGTCGAAGTCCAACTACCAAGGCCCATCCTCAGGTGGAAATATTTGTCAAATGGTCGAAACCCCGAAGCTGACGTACGAGCCTCTTAACCACAAGAAGCTTCCTCCACGGTCACTTCTCCCAAGAGATCGCCTGCTCAGAGATCTTATTCGAATGACTGATGGAACGTTTGTCACAAGTATAAATGTCAAGTCTTGTCACTAGTATGAAGGACCTACGCAAGCAATAAATGCGCCGTAAGCTAGCAAGTCAAGCCCCATACCTAAGAAAAGACGTTTGAACTAAAGAGATGAGGCCACGTGCCACTTCATCCAAGGGCTTCCATTTCATATGTATCACTATAAATACTTCCATTGTGTGATGTCAAAGGCTAATGCAAGAATCAATACTAAAGACTACATTTACCCAACTCTCTCTCATTTACTTGCAATACACAAACCGAGATTATACATTTTTACATATACATTTACGAGTATCGGTTGGTAATTATTGTACAATCGGATTACAAACAACCTGCCGGATTTCGAACGTCACCGTCCCACGTCGTTGGGCTACTCTCACGCCCCTTTGAACCGCTCGTTTTAGACCGTCCACGTGTCTTAGCGTGTTGGACATTCGCCCACGCAAGCGCGGGTGGGATCGGCATCTGTTGGCACACTTTTTGGGGTCAACAGATTAGCGCCGTCTGTGGGAAACCACACCATAACCACGAGCAACTTTGTGGTAGAAGCTCACTGAAAAACATTTGGGCAACCCCCTTTGGAAAGGATTTGTTCTTGAAAAAGAACAAGAGGAACCCCTATCACTTAGAGAAATCTAAGTTTGATAAAAGAAAAATGAGTTCTAACGAAGATACTCTCCAAGGAGGGTAAGAGAAAGTACGAATGTGCCTCCCCAGCCTGCTGCCCCAGCAGCTCGGCCGAGGCTCCACCACCACCAAAGGAGAGGTGGGATGCGTGCGACAGCACGACTATCAAGAGAAATGGCTACCATGGCAGCCAACATGAGGGATATAGCCAACCAAAACTTGGCCATGAGGGAGCTCATGGCCCAAATGCAAAGCCAGGGAGGCTTCCCCATTCCTCCATATGCCCCCCACGGGCACTATTAGCAAGAGGACGAGGTCCAGAGTCATAGGGCTGCCTCGCCAAACTATGGCCGAGGTGAAAGCCCATTCGAGAGGGAAGTGGGAGTCGACATTTCCTCCAACTATGCATTTGGCCGACCCACCGAGGTCCAAACGAGCCATGATAACTTTCCACCTCCATATGAGCAAGACCCAAGACATAGGAGAGCAGGAATTGTTTTTGACAGAATCAGCCCTGCCGAACCGAGACCAAGTCAACAGCAGGCTCAGCAGCCTCGGACGAGGCCACAGCCTCCACCTCCGATGCCCCAGCAGCCGGAGAGAAGGCATGAAAATGTCCCCCGCACCGTCCTGCCTAGAAGTAGGCCACAAAGGAGGGAGGAAGAGGCTAGGAACCGACCCAGACCATCTCACCAACAACCGAGGTACGAGGCCGAAGCCTACTATTCTGATGAGCAGCACAGGTCCTGTGACTTGGACGATGATGATGAGAACTACCATTCTCAAGAGAACTAAGAAATGCCCAGGTCCCGAGCCACTATGTCATGCCAAAAATACTAAAGTATGATGGGAGAGATGACCCAGAAAAGCACCTCAACGCTTACAAAACTCACATGAGCCTGAGGGGCGCCACCCCAGCCATAAAGTGCAGGGCATTCCATTTAACCCTCAGTGGAGCGGCTGAAATCTGGTATAGTAGGCTACCACCTGGGAGCATCCGAAGCTGGCCCGAGTTCAAGACTACCTTCTTGAAGAGGTTCGCAGTGAGCAAGGAAGGAGAGGCCCCCATCCAGCGTCTCCAAGACATGAGACAGGCACATGGTGAGTCCCTGAAAAGCTTCCTATCCCGCTTCACCAACGAGATGACCTACTGCGTACAAGTCACCGACAGAGAAGCACTATCTGCATTGAGAGGGGACTTGAACATGAACACCCTATTCTGGAGGGATGTGCAGAATCAAGACCCCACCACCTATGACGCCCTACTAGAGATGATGAGAAGGGAGATAATTAATGAAGAATTGATTGAGCATAGGAACAGGGCAAGCAGAGGCCTCCCACCTCCTCAAAGACAGCGAGGTAGGGGTCCGACCTTCCACCTCATGGACTACCAGATGAACCAGGTCGGAAATGAGAACTTCGGCCAAGCTCTGGCCACCACAACTCTGAACGCGGTTCCTACCTTGGCATATGAGGATGTCAACCCAACTGCTGACCCACATCAGATGGAAGCCCAGCAGGGACCCCGTAGAGGAAGAGGCCAAGGCCGAGGTTTTGCACCTAGAAATAGGTCCAATCCGAACCTCCCTGGATACTGTTTGCACCACAGGTCCTATGGGCACGACACCACGGATTGCAGAGACTATGCACACCGCTCCCGGTAGGAACCCACCAGAGAAAGACATAACTCGCCCCAGGCGAACAGGCCCCCGCCCAGGCAAGACAACCGACATGGGCGTGAGGGACCACTCCTCGTCAAAGGGATGTATCCCCAAGGCGAAGAGAGCAAGACACAGAGAGGCCCAGGGAAGGGCGTAGACACCGAAGAAATAGGCAAGCTCAAGATGAGGCCCCTATCCACGAGATAGATACCATATTTGGAAGCCCTTATGTTGGCGGTGAAACACGGAACGCCAAAAGAAACTATGCTAGGGAGGCTAAACACCCCCCTCTGACGAGTTACATTGTGGATAGTAGCTCTCGAAGAAACCAAGTACCACCCATTGTCTTCACCCAGGAAGACGCCGAAGGAGTTCATTACCCCCACTGCGATGCGCTGGTGGTGAGGGCTGTCATAGCCCGAAATGGGCTCAAACGAATGCTAGTCGACAACGGCAGCTCCGTCAACATCCTATTCGGGTCCGCCTTTGACAAGATGATATTGGACCATCAGTTGAAGCCCACTACCACTCCATTGTACAGATTTACCGGAGATAGTATCACTCCGAGGGGAAAGATAACACTGGCAGTGGAGATGGGAGAATCTCCTCAAACTACGATGAATTTCATGGAATTCCTCGTAGTTGACAGCCGATCGACTTACCACGGAGTCTTGGGCAGACCGACCCTAAAGGAATTGGGAGGAGTCACCTCCATCCACCACCTATGCATGAAATTCCCAACAGAAAATGGGGTGGCAACGGTGAGAGGCGACCAAAGAGGTTCGAGAGGGTGTTATCTAAGCTCCATTAAGAAGGTAGAGCCCCGGGACGTCCACGTGATCATGGCTGATGTGGTCATGGCGGATGTCCCAGGTGACGCTCCCACTGACCAGGAAGATGTTGATATGATTGACGCACCGCTTAATCAGGAAGTGCTGATCATCGATGAGATCGACCCCCGCATAATGGAACATGAGCCTCAAGCATCCCCTGTAGAGGAACTTGAGGGCTTCTCAGCCGACCCCCGAGATCCGTCCAAGGTGTTGAAAGTAGGCAGAGGCCTATCCAACATTTTGAGAGAAAAGATTAAGGACTTCCTAGGCAAGAACCTTGACGTCTTTGCTTGGAGGCATGAGGACATGGTGGACATAGACCCCAAGATCAGCTGTCACCACTTGAAAATTGATCCTAATGTTGCCCCGCATAGACAAAAAAGGAGAGTCCTCAACCCTGAGAGGTATGAGGCCCTAAAGGAAGAGGTTCAGAAGCTCATCCAAAAGGGCTTCATCAGGGAGGCCACCTATCCGAGGTGGGTCTCCAACCCGGTCTGGGTTAAGAAACACAATGGCAAATGGAGGGTATGCATCAACTTTACAAATCTCAATAGAGCTTGCCCGAAAGACAGCTTTTCGCTTCCAAGGATTGACTAATTGGTGGACTCCACGGCTGGGCACGAGTTGTTGAGCTTCATGAATGCATACTCTGGATACAACCAAATCCCCATGCACCCGGCCGATGAAGAGCACACCTCTTTCATCATGGACCGAGGCCTCTACTGTTATAGAATAATGCCCTTCGAGTTGAAAAACGCCGGAGCAACCTACCAAAGACTCGTGAACAAAATGTTTGCCGACCTCATTGGCAAGACAATGGAAGTCTACGTGGATGACATGCTGGTGAAGAGCTTAGAAGCAGAGAACCACATAGCACACCTCAACAACACCTTCCAAATCCTGAGAAGGTACGGGATGAGGCTCAACCACTTGAAATGTGCTTTTGGGGTGGCTTCCGGCAAGTTCTTGGGGTACATGGTCAACCAGCGAGGAATTGAAGCGAACCCCGAGAAGATTAAGGCTCTATGTTAGACGAGGTCCCCTCAAAAGCTAAAGGAGGTGCAAAGCTTAACTAGACGAATGGCAACACTTAGTCGCTTCGTCTCCAAAGCAACTGACAAGTGCCTCCCATTTTTCAAAGTGCTCAAGGATAGGAAGAAATTCCAATGGACTGAGGAGTGTGAAGAGGCCTTCCAAGAACTGAAAAGGCATTTGGGACAGGCCCCCCTCCTCTCCAAGCCGAAGCCCGACGACATCTTGCAACTATATCTCGCCGTCTCCAATGACGCCATCAGTTCGGCTCTGATTCGAGAAGAAGGGTCCACCCAACTTCCCGTCTACTATACGAGTAAAGCGCTCCTATCGCTGGAGACCCGATACCCTGATATGAAAAAGGTTGCTTTGGCCTTAATCACGGCCTCTAGGAAATTGAGACCTTACTTCCAAGCTCATACCATCCATGTACTTACAAATTTTCCCCTGAGGCAAGTACTCCAAAAGCCCGATGCCTCGGGAAGATTGTTGAAATGGGCAGTGGAACTAAGTAAATTTGACCTCATGTTCAAAGCTAGAGCAGCCATCAAAGGGCAAGCCTTAGCTGACTTTGTTGCTGAATTCACCAACCTACCCGAGGTGGATGAAATCATGGAATCCGTCGAACTCCCCACGTGGAGCCTCTTCGTCGATGGCTCAGCTGGGGAGGTCGGCTCAGGTGCCGGGGTTGTCCTCATCAGCCCCGAGGGTCACAAACTCACCTCGACCGTGAGGTTCGGATTCAAAGCCACCAACAATGTTGCAGAGTATGAAGCACTCCTTGCAGGCCTCAGACTGACCAAGAAAATGCAAGTAAA